AGGCGCCCGCCACGACGCCCAGTGGCCGAGTGTGCATTTTGGTGTTAGACATGTCTACAGTATTTNATCAGTGAACCGCTCCTAAGACTACAGTAATGATCTGAATAGTCGAAAAGGCAGTAGCGGAATGATAAGATCATGAANAAGAAGGAAGAAGCCCGGCCTTAGGCGGGCGACCTGACTGGCATAACTCAAACTCAAGAGTTCCTCTGGAATCTTCTCATTCAGATAATAACAGCAGCAACCTCTTTGTGTTTCACGTTCGGGATGAAGAAGTAATTGAGGTCTCTAACAAAACACATCTTCGAGGTTAGGTATCAAGAAAGCTCCTAAATTAGTCTGGAGATTTTTGTTGATTGATTTTTCTTTGACTTTGGAAAGCATCGACAGCGAAACACTACAATCGCTCATCAAAAACGCTTCATACTACCTTATATAGATCTACTCCATCCCTGTTATTACCAAACACCACAAAAAGGCAAAAACGAGTGGAGGTCTGAAGGTATCGGTGAGGCCGCGACGACATGAGCACTCACAGACGCGATCCGGCCACTGCGTCGCGCGGGGGTTTTTGCTTGCTCCCTTTCGGACCTGAACCGTGCACCCCTCCTTGACCGCCCGGGAACCACCGCCCTCCGACAGTAGCACCCTGGCGACGCAACGCTTGGCGTGGACGCCCGGTCGCCGTACACCACGACCGCCACGGGACTCCTCCCCTCACTCTATCCACACCAATCTACTGCCAAGAAGCTGGCTCACAGGCGCCCGCCAAGACGCCCAGTGACCAAGAGCGCATGTTCTCGCCAGAAATGTTCGATGATAGATAGCGCACTAGGAACTAAAGAGGACAGAGCGTTATTTGAGAAAGAAAGTTTGGCTCGGTGGTAGGACGCAAACGACTGGATTGATAAGCCAGTATGGGTGAAAAGGACACTAATGGCGACGAGAAACAAGGGAAAATGCACAAAGGGCAGTAGAAGTCCTGAATGAAGCATTTCACGCAAAAACACGATGTGATTCGCCAACTCAGTTTTGCATATACAACTGTCATTTGAACCAATTTCGTCAGACCTGTCTGGGCCGTTTGGGAGGCACCCATTATATAAACTCTGCGCTGTAATTTTTTTTTCGAAAATGTGCCAGCATTTTCATAAAATCAAGCGTGGCTGGGAGAGACTTTTGAGACTATCATACGAGGATACTATCAGGATAGAGGGATAGAGTGCCGTGAATGAAGATGCCTACAATTCTGTTGGAGTTTGCTGAAGATGTGGCTCGCTGGTTAATTAACGATTTTTTGCGCTTAGCTGACTTCATATTTGAGCGTTACGATACTTTCTTGCAAAACGTGACGTGTGGCTCGCAAAGAGAAAGAAACTCGGCCCTTGAATTTCCCAAAAACGAGTCATTGCATAAGCCAGATGCTTCGGCGCCCACGGGAAAGGTGAGAAGGGAATATGGCTCGAAGGTCAGTAAAGGTGGCCTCGGTCAGTTACAATATTTCCATACACATTGCTTAATGATCAATATCTCTGATGTCTGATGACATTTCCATTGATCATCAGTTCCCACATATCAACAGTGTTTTCATTCTTGTAGGAAGCCTATCCAAAAAGAGGGATTCGCGTAAAGGGCGCTTAGTAGCTGTTGAGTAAAACGTAACACAATTATCGAGCAGCCTGGTAACAAAATTCATTCGTCATCGAAATTGAGCCGAAAATCGAAACTTCAACCAAAACATTATGATGAACGCTAGCCCAAAAATAAAAATAAAAATAAAATGAAGCGACCAGAAGGAAACAATACGATAAAGTTCAGTTGGAAGACAATGGGAGGAAAAATCGGTCTTAACTACACATCCACCATCGCCACCTACTGTGAGGAAAGCTTCAGAGTTTGAAAATACCCACCATATTTCGGAAAAAGATGAAAGTTTATTGAGTTTGCAAGAGTCTAGACTATAGCGAGCAAAGTGTGTAACCCCCGATCTCCGAATGGAAGGATCGTACCTGAATCGTTTATTCATCAATCCGCAACCTCATCTTTCCCACATGGTAACTTGTACGGTTTCCAATGCAGCTCTTCAAACAAGTTGGTAGGTAGTAATTTCACTGAATAAAAAGCTCCCCTGAAAGTAAAGTCCCCCTTCCTTCAGAAGTTCATCCCTTGATCCACTGACCTACTGAGAACAGTACATCACTAGACTTCTTCCGTACGTAAACTTTCCTCAAAGCTCAACAACAACACGAAGGCTGGAGCCCGGAAACTGCTCGTCACTCTATGCGGCAGGCGAATTAATTATTAGAGCTGCACATTGGTTTCGACGTTCACCTCAAATTGTAAAGGCAGTCCGGAAGGTATTTGAGGTTTAAAGTTCCACTAAGGCCTACGAGTACTAGTGCTGAAGTTTTTATTCACCCGAACAAGATGTTATCAAGGATTTGCTCCCTGAAATGAAGGATTATGATGGGGGAGGCAGAACTCCAATTCATCTGAACCATTTCCAAACCATTTGTGATGGTGTTTTTGACAAAACCCGATTACGACTATTATGCTATGTCTATGCTATTATTACCGACTATATTCTACTATACCCATCGTTTATTGTGTGCCCTACTTGATCCAAACAGCTGTCCGCACGGCTTACCTGAGGGCAACGCTTCCTTCTGTGAGATAGAATACCCGGCTAACACCTAACATTCCTCATTACGGTTGAAAAGGCGGTAGTAAATAGTAAATATTCGATCAACAGTTATTCAAATCGATAGTAATCGTTATCGATTGATAGCTAACGACCCTTACACTGTTAAGATTGAACGAGAGTACATCCACCTCTCCAAATTTCTCATAATCGATAGCCAAACACCATCGCAATGGTTGAAGACGATCCGTTCGAAATAATTCGGCATGTCACACGAATTTCTATATAAGCAAATATCCTCTCAACTTTTTGTCGCTTTGCCAATCTTTGGTGAATGATCAGAATTCGTGGAGAAACGCCTGAGCTCTACAAGCTATCCTGTCTTGGTACCCGTAATCTATGTCCAAACCAATTCATAACTGATCGAAATCAGAAACGAATTTAATGGGCATCGATTTGAATCATACCCTTGCTCCAGAATGAAATTGAAAGGAATGCTTGAAGTGCCTATTTCTAGTTCAGCACCGCATACTGTTTGAGTGGCAGATGAACTGCTACAGTGACTGACTGTAAGTGCAAACGCTTGGCTTCTGTGAGAAATATTTCCAAAAAATGTTGCGAACGTCAGAATGTGGTCACCTGAACTGCTCTGTCCGCTCGCAGCGGTTGTAACGGAAGTGTTCAATAAATTACGGTTCCAGTCTATTCTCGCGTATGAAGCTACTTATCTGTTTCGGAAGCGCTATATTTAAACTTCAGAAAGAATCGATAGAGATAGAGAATCGTCAGATGATAGGACTTCATTCTTCGAAAGATTTTTTTGATAATGAAGCTCAGAAATCAAAGAGGATAAAGGAATTTTATAATAAGTGAAATTAGCCCCAGATGGGCTCAATAGGTGAGCTATCAAGAAGTCTGCTGCCGCTCTCAAGTCGCCCAAGTAGGAAAGTGTCCAACCGCCTGAATCCTAGCGAACAGAGGCAGTATTGTAGACATCAGTGGCGATCGATGTATCATGACATTCAAGTAGGAAACGTCCGAACATGAATACCTTGCGGGCAATGTTCAATGGACAGAACCAAAATGTTCAAGCGCAGAAAACCCAAATTCACAGGCTGGACCTCATGAAACTGTAGGTTCAAAGATTTGCCACTGATATGTCGGAATTGTTCCACAGTTTCAGAACCTTCCCATATGTGAGTGAAACAAGACTATTTCAGGGGCTCAATCGTAACAGAAGGTAAATAATCCTCTGAAACTTTTCGAAAAATTTGCGTTCACTGTGCTCTCTTTAACAATGCTCAAGCTTTTCTTCTCTTGTTTGTTCAGACCAGATGGGAATTCTCGCTTGAGACGACTCCAAAAGTTTACTCTTCAATACGATACTCGAATTTTTTACGGTACTGTAATCGGCATCCTTACACAAATCTAATTGTTCAGGTACTTCACCACATCATCACTGCTCGTTCTCATCGGGGATTATGAAACTCATGAATGTGTCTGTCTTTACCCTTGCTTGATTGTATGCACATAATGTTAAGTGGACAGCCGGAAGTTGGAGGTAAAGAAGTTCTAATAGGCCCTTAAGCGAGAGCTAAGAAATTTTTAACACCTGAGCCATCACGGATTATTGGAATTCTTGTCGCTGCTGAATGTGTTCTGCGAAAAAAGCAGTGGTGCAACATACTCCGAGAAGGGACACCCAGGAAGGGTTGGATTCTTGAAAATCAGTACTATATGAATCAGAGTAGCACTTGCTGGAATCGTAAGAATGTTCAGACCATTAAAGGGCGGATTGCTCAGCAACAAGCCTATTTCATGTTGGCCGCTAGCTAAATTGGAAGTATCTTCAGTGGCAGCACCGTCCCTACTGCGCGGTTCCCTAGCAACCGCGCGGCAGAATCTCGGCCGAACTAGTGCTTCTTGGTCTCCTATTAGCTAGAGATTCCCTTTGACCGCTCGATAAGTGAGTGGTTATTTGAGTAGCTTGGTGACCAACTATTTTTGAAGATTACGCTCTCTTATTCTGGGAGAGGTATGGGCTATTTGCTTCGATGGAGTTTCAAATTTTTCTAGTGAACACTTGTTCAACCCAAAAAATTCACATTCTTACCATCATGAGCTAGATTTTAGATCTTTGACTACATATCTGAAAAGCTTTCTATGAGCCACTCCACTCATTGTTTATCAACTATTGAACAATGAGGCTATCGTTTCTCTTTATGAAGCTTCCTCTCCAGATGAAGCGAGCTGTTGACTTTGCTTCCCTTATCCGATCATTCTACCAGTTAAATTTATGCTTCCACCGAGAACCCGACTTTATGTACTATCAATTGGTCGTGAATAGATTTGTTAACAGATGGAACGTGAAAGTTCAACTGAACAAAAAGAAAAAAGACAGGACGAGGTTGATGACGCGGCTACTTTCAGTGGAGCTTCCACGTAGGTTTATCTAGTTGAACCTATTTTAAGTGACATAATACATAATTACAGAATTTTGCTCCAAATCTAAGCTTTACCATGCTCACATCTCGGCCTAAAAAGTTCCTTGTCAGGTGTCGTTATAGTTTCCGAATCACTTCCATGGTAAAAGCTCCCGGTACAAAACCCATTTCCTATCGCACCATCAATTCAAAATGAAAACTTCCGCTTCCAACTTACTCCAGCATTATTACGGGAAAACCTTCTCAGCAATAAGCATTATTATTAGATGGAATCCACTACCGACAATTATTCCGATCAAATGAAAACTTAAAGCAAGGTCAACTACGATCCGAGGTAAGATGAGGGGAAGCACGCTTCACACCCATTTCCACCCCGGCTTCAGCATTGCTATCTTTTCTCAACATGTCCCTCCACGAAGGTGGCTAAGCTGATTTGAGCTCTGTTCAATAGTTTCGGCAAAAGCACCGAAATGGAGAATTATGGAGCGGTCAGAATAAGAGTCTTCTACTATTAGAAGAAATCATTTCCACATTTGCTGGGTCGGCGGTCCTCAGTAGAAAAAATCTGGGTAATCCTGCGAGCAGTATGACGGTTAGTCCCATCTGGTGGCCTTCTAAACAAAGTTTTGAAGTTTGAAATTTTCTTGGATCAAGTGCTACGAAGTATAGTCAATAGATGAACTTGGTAGCAGGACAGATGTTGCAGGTTTCAGGTAATTGACTTCAATCTGAGGTTTATTACTACCTTACAAACAGAGTGATCAAGGAAATATACACTGAAATAACGCCATAATGGCAGCCCTCCTCAACGAAACATCGAACACTCTTTCAGATCACGCCTAGCATCGACTCCGATCGAGAAAAATCTTTCGGACAGCAGCAGTGACTCTCCAGAAAAGGGCGCCGAAATCAAACAAAAGCGAACGCCAGCCGAGGAAGAGACGGTGAGTCGTCTCCTAACGAAACAAGAGCTTAGAACAGGGTTAATCTGAGCAGCGTTGCATGCAACGGATGATGGGCTAATGCCACAAGGATCTGCTCTAAGGCTAGTCTCTTCCTAGGGTTATGGGTGATCTCTTGCACACGGATGATATCTGTGGTAATTCCCTCCTTCACGACGTTCAAGTTAAAATCCAATTGCACGTGAATGTTCGCTGTTCCCTAGCGAGGTGTAAAAAAAATCAAACAAACTACTCAAGAGAGAATGCTCTTGAAGAGAGGAGATGACCCAGTTGTCAGATGGGCAGCATTTTACACGCTGCAAATTTGAAAGGCCAACCGGGACTTTCGACTCATCAGTTTCATTAGAACGATAGCATTCTTGGCTACCTCTGAGCCCTTGCATGACTCATCTCATGTAATGAATAAATAAATATATATAAAGTTATCTAAATATTAACATAGCATTTTTATGTTCAGAGTCACGGTGAAGAATATGGAAAAAGCACTTATGGAGAGCTTCTAAACATTTTCGGAAGACGTGAGGTGATTGGTAATCTGTTTATTTTTACTTCACAAAACTTGGTAGTATGACTATGAAGATTAAGAGCGAACTGGATAGACATCTTGCCTCAGTACCGACAGGCTCGAAGAAGACACCGCAGAGTGACCCCGTGGTGTATGTCGAGAAAAATGGTCAGTTGCTTATAGATTTACACTGTTGAACAAAATATTTGGCTTTAGTCGACGTGATCATAATACTGCATGTTTTACGCACAACATCTGAGCTAAACTATAGCTATGGCCATGTCTATGATTGCATTTGATGGTCGCTGAGCGCTCTAAGTTGTTCACTGTGGACAGGAGACCTCTTCGAAGCTCTGTATACAGCAACCATCATAATTTGGCGCAATAAAGCAATGTATCACAAATCATAACTTTATACGGGTTTTCGACAAATCTAACAACATTTGATGAATGCTGAGTAAGTTCCAACCGCTGAGAGATTCCACCACCCTTTTTATGTTGACTGTCTGATCGGTAACATTGATATGGAAGGCAGCCATACCTAACAGCGCTGATACATTATACTCAGAGTTCAACGACGTCTCAATCAGAATTGCCATGATAAAATTCTCCTTACAGAGATGAGCCGTGAAGCTGCCGGCGTTCCCAGAGAAAAATCGAATTCTAGCACAAAAATAATCACCGAGAAATCAAAAGACCGAAGAGAGCTCACACGTTTGCGAAACAACATCAGTAGAAAGAGAGAATTCGAGAGAATCATTCGAATGAGGTCAGGGTCAAAAAGATGGAACTGGGAATGAGTACACTTGCTTTGGCAGGGTAAACGTGCTTTCTGAAGTTGTTCCCGCTCTTCCTTAGTAAGGAAGAGCGCAAACGAACTTTCCTGTGGGAAGCGATCTAAGGTAATACTAACTTCACAAAACGTGGTCTGTTATTATTTCCTTTACCCAAGTGGTAGATATGTGTGAGAATCCACTCGACACAAAGTGACAAAAACTGAGTTTACAGCATGAGATCACAGTATACTCTTTAAACTGAGGGAAATGGTGGAAATTCAAGGACTCTCGTGACATCAATAGAAGGAGTTCAATCAATCTCATGTTCAGCGTTATCGAAAGGGAAGACGACTAAACTAAAAGTCAGTTGTTTGTCCGAGATGAAAGTGCTGATGGAGAAGTGTCAGCAAAGGAGGTTCGGAAGAAAAGATAAAAGAACAAGAAAAAGGACAGGGGAGTTGTGGCCTAGCGAATGCGTGAAATTCAATTGAATCAAAAATAGCTGAAGAAGGACAAAATAAGGAACGAGATGGGATTAGGAAGTATAAAAGGATCATGGAAATAAGTGCATGGAAGAGAATGTGCCTGGATGGATAAAAGCAATGAGGATCCATCAGTCCGAGTTAACATTATGGTCAAAGTTGAATCAGTGAACCGCTCCTAAGACTACAGTAATGATCTGATTAGTCGAAAAGGAGCCGGGATACTTCCTGCTGGTCGCCCTCGCTGCTACTAATTGAGATCTTCCTGAATGTTCCTACAACACGCAAAGTATACTACAGAAGAAATAGGATCTTTTGTCTACTAGACAATAAGCAAGAATGCTATGGGAAGTTGACGATCCGGCTATACACGAAAAGCTGTGTCGGAGCCTGCGGGCAGATGAGAGCCCTCTTCCAATACTTTTGAGCATTTGAGCTCTACCTTCCCCTCTCAGCGCTTACGTACGCAGCTGAGCTGCGTACTGTATTGTAATTCGCCCGGCGTTTCCTCTGAACCCAACTTAGTTCTTACACTTTAGTGAGCAACAAGTGAGCCACTCAATCGTATCCGAGGCCCTTTGAGGGATGTAGCGCTCTTTTCTAGAATTGGAAAAAGTCGGAATTTATACCGCAATTCTGGAACTAACCCTAACACTAATGTAAGGACTGTGTGGTGTACATATGTTGAGTGTTTGACGCTGTCATTAATACGTACTCTAATTAATGTATCAGAAAGCCATAGATGTCCACCAAATTTTGGGTAGTGTCTTCCGGAATTCATATTTGCTGATGAGGTTGCCAAATCTTTGAGGCTTGCTGATGAGTTCTAATTCTGTTCTAATTCAGGAAAATTTCGGACGATGAAGAAAAACGTGTTCGAAAGAGAGGAGGTTGGAGTGAAGAAGGCAAGAGAGAACATCTTCTCGTCTGTGGTCAGCTTCATCTCGTCCAAGCACCCGGATGTAGGGGTGGCGTATTCGTTCCAGAACAATTTCCATAACGTTTCGATGATTATGCAAGGTGAGTAAGCTGCCTAACTGATAGAACTTTTAGTCCAGGCTGAAGGGACACTTTTGCATGAATTAGATGCAGTGGTTACAGAACCTAGGATGAAGTGAAGTAAGAAACATTTGACAACAAAACAGCACAATTCTATATTCATTCCCCTTCAGTCACCTTCAATAAACTTGATACCACAGTAGTACGAAGAGGTAGGGGGCGGGAGAGAAGGCAATGAAGCAGTGTACTATGATTCTGCTCGTTCGTGGTCTTTAATGGACCACATCCTGTTTCTATTTACACCCATTCGCAATTATTGTAACCGCCAGCTTTATAAATATTGGAATCTACTGATTATAGGGTTTATTGCAGAGAACAGTAGAGATGGCGGAACGAATACTCATCTGGGGGCTTGCTTTGTATTCAACACTATGATGTTTTCTGCTCTATACTACAAAAAAAAAATTCGCCACCTTGCGCCACCCTTTAGAAACATCAAATATGTTGAAGCATAATGGCAAATCCGCTTAGCATGAGTTTGCCCAGAATTACTACATTTTCCTTATAGCTTCCTGGGTATTCAGACTGTCAAAGACCAGTAACGTTTATGACTCCGCGCATACAATGGAAATAACATGAGATTCATTTCAGAGGGGAAGATCTGTAAGATCTTCTCGTAGAATTATGACTTTTATGCAATTTTTGGAAATTGAACTCAATTAGTGGGAGAAATTCTGGATGTCAAAACAAATATAATCATGAGGAGCAAATTGATACTTAATTCAGGTTTCCTCTCAGGGCTGACTGTCGCAGAAGCTGTGTTTGCATTTAGCTTTGCCAATGAGGTGAGCGATTGATTTCCCTCTGATTTCCTGAGGTTGCCCTTCTGACTATCAGTTTTTTGACACCTCACGTAGTCTATGGTCGAGAAGGAGGTCGTTTTTGTGGCCCCAAAAATTCTGTGGTCAAATTCTTTGACTCACAGCCTTATCCTTCTGGGTGAAGGAAATAACCAGAATTGACTACTTGTCGGATGGATGTTATAGATTATAACGGTAACTACGCAATTTATTGAGTGATGGTCTGAATAAAATGTGAAGGGATTGTAAAAGTGCATCCGAGGGTTTCAAGACTCTGCATTAACCTACAAGTTATGAAAGCAATGGGGCATGCTACTTCGAAAATTGAGTTACTATTCTTCTGGAAGTAGCCTCGCTGATCGATTCGATCTTTAACGCCTCTCTTCGAGATCGAGGTTTATGCCATCTTTGTAAATGCCACTGCAACGCCTACGAGAGGCTTTTGTAGTATGATTACAGCTCTGGCTTCGATTAACATAAGAAAGCAGCTACCCCCTACCGACCTTCATTCACTTCATTCAATCATTTTCACCAGGAACTCCTACTTCATGCATATCGCTGGCTCAGCCTTCCAGTGCATGTAGTATTCCTTATTTGTTTCACTATTGGCAGTGTGGCAGCAATTGATAGGTTAGTGGTTACTTAAAGCTATTATGCTGTTGTTATCAATTAATTTGCCACATTAAGGACTGGATTTTATGGATGGAAAATTTCGGAGCTCAAAAAAACCTTGTCAAATGGCGGTGTTGTCGGTATCATTCTGTGGGGCGTTGGACTTATTGCCAGTTCGGCTTGTATACAATTTGACGAAGCACTCGCCCCTATCGTGGTTCGTTGTTCGCTTCAGAATTTTATATTGACTACCCCAAAAGCAATGTCGTTTTCAGTTCGTTTTCAAGATACCAATTAGCTCCTTATCAGTCTTGGCTACAACCTCCTTCCCTGACTACGAAGGCCCTCCACACATGGAGTAAACTGTCGCAAGGGGACGGACATTAGGAACACTTTTGTGTAATCGATCCGCCGCACGCGGCTGTCGCGGACCATTTGCATCGTTATAGCAATTCTAGCGTTTTTCATACAGCTCAATGGCTATGCGATTATTACTTTTGACATGATTCTACTGTTAGTTTTATTCTGTCGCAGCCCCCTCTCCGAAACAAGCTACTTTGCCGAAAACACCTTCTCCCCTCTTCTTGACGTGATTGCTGGTATGGTATGGAGCATTACAATATTCGAGAGTACTTTCCCCTTGAAGCTGTGCACGTTCTTCTGTCCTTTACCACTTTTTTAGCTTCCGAAACTGTTCCCTCCAAGTGCCCCTGGTGATTGTTTCGTTTAAGCATATTACAACCAACTAAATGAACTTGAGTTCTCAATTACTTACAAGATTACTGAGTGAAATTTTTACATAAATAAGTGTAAGCCAATAGCTTTCTATTCAGGGTGAAGTCGTGCTTAGTCCAGAGCTGTTACTCTTCTGGAGGATTTGCAGTGCGGTTAGAGCGGTCTGTGCGAGTGCTGCTTGGCTTCTGTTGGCTCTCAAACCGGACTGCAATGTGTTGGGAGATACCATCAAAAGGTACGATTTATTACGGAAAAATGGACCACAACGTCAAATGCATAATCAATTTCAGGACTGCAGTGGATGAGATGATCCAACGCAATGTTGACCTTCTGGAGGAAGTTCCCTCAGAGTTCAGAAAACAAGTCGCAAAAATGATCAGTATTCCGAACTAAACCCAGAATTGTGTCAATCAAAAACCTCATGAATTTCTAACCTAAGCAATGCTCACGTTCCTTATTTCCGGCATGAATATCGATCATTGAAAAATCTGTGCAGACGTCGCTAAATGTAATTGTTGTGAATGAGATGTCAATGGCCCTTTCTTGAGCTCTACCATTGAAATCTTAAGCTGTAAATGTTGCTGTAAAAACTTTTGAAGCCCGACTGTAACTCAGGTTTATTACAGCATGAGAGGAAATTGAATAAAAATGAGCAATGCATACTCGTCATACATATCAAAAACAGTACAAGAGTCACAGACTGGCAGTGAAAGTCAGAAGTGAAAGCGTATTGACGAAGTGAGCGAGTTGTAATGCTTGAATTCACTTGAGATCTTTACATGATTGACAATGTAAGTCGTGAGGTAAAATTGTTAACCGTCGAAAAAAAAAGAATGATGTTAGCTGTCCTGGGCTGGAAAAGTACCGAAACTTATTTCATTGACGTCGGGTATCCTGGTACTCCTTTTTCATGAAATCGACTAGACTCTGCGATGAATCCATCAATTTTGCATATGTGGCTTCTCCCTATAAAGTCTTGATGTGTGAACATTACCATGAAAACAGCACTGAAGCACAGTAAGAGAGTGAACTGCGTAAGCTTCGACTTCTCCAGGAATCCTCTATTGAACTGCTTAACACACAGGTGCATAGCTTTTATAGCTAACTCATGATTTCATCGATGAGGGGTCCTCCCCTGAAGAACCGTCGCCTGGCATGCGCCCCGAGGAGGTGAAGCTACACCGCACATCGCGCAGGGCGCATCACACAACTTCGAGATCACTTAGTCAACTTTGCTATCGCTAGTCAATCGATTCGTACTAGTCGATGATAACAGCACAATGCAAGTACGATGAGGATTCAGCCGATTCGTTCTTTCTGGGAACCTTTACCCTTTACTTCGTGGAGCTTGAATCATGTTGCATGACGTTGGATTGGAAAGACCTTCAATGATTGAGTTATACTGCACTGCATTTGATCCGAGTAGAACCAGTCCATTGCATAAATATGGTTAAATTGATTCCTTCACTATTTTTTCCCGTAAGTTATGCTTTTTTATTAATCAAGCTCTACTATTTTAAAATTGCACCGCATTTTATTCATTTAAATGAGTGCAATGCTCATTATTCTCATAGCTGGCGCAACTTTTCGTTGTGCTCTGCTTTACCTCTCTGCTAACATGTTCAATCTACATGGTGAGTAATTTCTTATAACTCTTTCTTGCTTCGGAGCACCAAAGCTAATGCAATTTGCTTCAAAATGAAAGATTAGCCAAGCAAAATGTCATGCAACATAGTTTAAATTGAAGAAGTAACGAATCGAATCAGTCACAAATCGTTTTTTTCACAGCTCGAAGAGGTGCTGTACCATTTCGAAACGGGCGCTTTCAGAATTTAGTGAGCGTTGCTAGACAAACGTTGACAGCGCTGGACAAGGTCTGTTGACAACGCTGGTCGCTCAATGGAAGCCTGCTTACGACGTCCGCGCCATCCTGGTCGCTTCCTGAGTTCAACGACGTGCGTTGTTCCACCAACCGACCGGCCGACGGCGTTGGTGGCCATGTGTTGATAACAGTGGAACGACTACAGATACCGCTTACGCGGCCCTGAAAGTGGTCAGCAACGCGGTCGGTCGGTGGAAACAATGCACGGAGCCGGCGGAGTCTGAAAGCACCCAGTCACGAACGACCCTAACATGTTACCACAACGGACCTGCGCGGGACGGAACATCTGCCCGTTTAGAGGAGCATGCAGCAAATTGCGCGGCCTCTGGCGCCTACGGTTGGGGCACAGGTTTGAGGTAGAATGGTTTAGTGGGGTCAGCTCATCCTTCTAATCTACTCGACTTCAAATCTGTGCAACAATAAGAGGCGCCAGAATTGTTCAAATCGCCACGAATTTCGCAGCGCCATTTGCCGCGTACGTCTCCAAACGGGCAAGTGTACCCGTGCCCCAAACCTGTGCGGCAGAGCAATGCAAGGAGTGTTACGTGACTACTTAGACTTTCTCTGCGTCCCTGACAGCGAAAGTTAAAGAAAAGAGAAAAGTATCGTGGGTGAAGCCCATGGAGGAGAGGGTTCGGCGGTGGTGAGGTCTCATCAGTCAGACAAGCACCCCGTTAAAGACTCGATTCAACGGGAGTGCGACAGACGAGGTCAGAAAGTTGAGCTGCTACGATGTGCATAAGTAGTAAATTCAGAATGGTAAAAAAACACGATATCTCACTTGTCGAATTGTGCGTTCCTGGCGGAGAAGACGTTCTTGCTCTACACGCAACCTTTCGTCCAATTCATCTCTTTTACGTTTCATTTCCTTCAAGTAAATTTTATGATGGGAACATTATATTTCCGGAAAATGTTGTACCTCAATCCGTTCTTCGAGTCCGGAACGATCTTTTTCGATGTCTGCAATGCATTTCTCGGTGGATCTTTTCTGCTCTTTCATCCGATCAATGTCTGAACAACATCTCAACACATTCGTTCAGCTGCATACTAAGATACACACCCCTGTTTAACCTCCGCTAAAGACTAATCAAAAAGACAGTCCGCTCAGACGCTCAAAAAAGCTAAGCAGCTGTAGGTTCAGTATAGATATGACTGAAACACCCTTCATATCAGACTGATACAACCACAGCACCAAACTCGGGGTTACCTGCATATAACATATTTGACTCTGGGTTTTCGTAATTACAAGCCTAAATCCTATGTTATTAGCCAAAAGTGGTGTGTTAGGTATTCAAAGAGATACCTAAGACTGTTACGCTCTGCGCTACGAAAAAACGTTACCCAGAAACAGCTTCCCTGCCCTGTACCAACATTATACTTTTCCTGAATTTCTTGTCTGTCTGTTTTCTTGTCTGGGGGNGGGGGAAACAAGCACTGACTTGTACATCGGCTGGCCACCGCAAGCCATTGTATAGGACACATACGCACTCATTACGCCCCTACGATCCTCAATGGAAGTCGAGGGTGGGGGGCATCCCTCAGACGGGATTGATTAACGCCAAAAACTTTATCCTTTATCCTTCATCCGAATATAGTGACTCGGTCCTCGACGGCAAGGATTCGGATGGTGGAGATTTGTATTTTGTCTTGGTAAATGACTAGGTCAAAGTACCTGAACTGAGTCAAAGGAATACAAAAAACACCGAAACAGGTTGTATTGGTGGACATTTTCAATTCATCTATTCCAATATGATTTTATTTGATACTATTGAAAAGTGGAGGTCCTACTATTACTACTAACTTTATGAACCATTAATTTGTGTGTCGGTTCGTTTGTCTACCTAACTGTTTGTCCGTGACGTCCATAGGCAAACCTGAGGCAGACCAAGAACAGCTGTTTATTTAGGTTAGCAGTGCCCACATGGAGCGCAATCACTGGCAACAATTCAAGCCACCTTTGTTTTTACTTTGCTCACAGTGCGTAGTCGGTGAGCAGGTAACCTCAGCCACTTACAACAAGTTGACGTCTATGTCCATGTTTCGAGATGTTCAACTAGAGCTGCCTCACTAATCACTAGAAAAAGAATTGACGGAATTGATATTTTTTGAGTTAGGGAACATGCTGCCCACCTTCATTTCTTGATAAATGAAAAAAAAACTGAAAAGGTAGTTCACAAGGTGAGGCAATCTGTGGTGTAGTAACCACTACCTTGTTCTATTTGAGCGTTCATCATAAGGACTTGCTATTTTATGGCTTCAACAAATGCGAATTTTCAAACGATTTTTTCCGATGCTTGATGTCATGTTGCGCAGAAAAACCTAGATCTTGTTTGCTCACCTAACCCATGACGGGAATATATGTTCGGCCCTCTAAAAGTGTGCGCGTTAAATTTAGGTGAGAGACCCACTCCTAGCAGACCAGCACTGACTACCTTTGCAAGAAGGGTGTAAAAGCGTAAAATCCTTACAAGCTACAAAAAGGTTAATGCTGGTATGTTTTACATAACCTATATATTGCGCGACATCGATAATTTGGCAAAAGATGGAAGGAAAATATTGCCTTAATCTTAAGGTCTGCTCAGTTGAAAAAATAATCACAAGTAAACAAAAATTTAGCTCTCTTACATTTCGCTATTTCATCGAGTTGCAAACCGACGTTCGACGACATGACCTTGGAAAACCAAAAAACAAGAAAGTTGAGACTAACACTTATATCGGTTTTGTTCAATACGCTAGGAGTAAGACTCTTATGAAGATAGTACAACACCATTGAATTCAACGTCTTATCAACTTTACCATAACAAAACAAATCAACAACAATCCATGTCGATTTACTTCTTTCCTGCCGTAACGGTTGCCTTTTTGACACCGCGAACTTTCTTTTGTCGGTTTCTTCTTTCCTTACGTTGCTTACGGCCACCCTTATCGACTTTTTGTACGAGTCCCATCTAAAAATATAAAGTTCAATGAAAGTGAGTACAAAAGGCACAATACTCAAGCAAGTGCTCCGACGGTTCTATGCAATCCCTTAACCCAAGAATTAACTGTGTTCAAGCTCACTTCAACCAAATTCGACATCATAAAGCCTACAGTTCTACTGATCCAAGTCTATGTGATCCCTGGTCTAGCTAGCACCTATGTCCATTTGAAAAAAAAAACAACCGAAGTCGATCCAAAAGCAAAACTCTTGTCCTCTTATATTCGTAATAATTCATCAACTAGCAATTGTAGAGAACCCGTGTCGAACAAAATGTCTAAAATGATTCAAAGAACATACACGAATGAGGCGGTACTTGGGCTCAAACTTCTTTGCGTAATCTAGTGTGTCATAGACAAGCGCGAATCCTTTTGTCTTTCCACCTCCAATGGCAGACTGGAAGCCAAACGGAATTACGACATCAGGAGTGGTTTTGTACATCTTGGCAATCTTCTCCTTGATATCAGCTTTAGGAACGGTGGCACGTCCGGGGTGCAAAACTTCGACAACCTGTAACGAATGAATGAACCTGTAGGGCTTCCAAATAATGCCATGAACGTCCTAAGTGCGCATTATTGCTTACTTCGTGAGCGATTCCCCATCTCACTACAGCTAAGTTGCCCACCATTCATGCTTACCGGGCTTCAAATAGTTGTCTCATAAAAGTTCATATGATTCGGTAGTAATTCAGCTGAACCTTTCCTTTATTATGAACAAATTCTGGCGAGCTTCTTGCCTCCTTCTCTCTTTCCCACACAGTTACCCCCTTTCCTCTTGAAAGGCGTGTATCACTTTCAACGCTGGCTTTATTCTCAATTTTTTTTAGGTTAACCTTTTCTACTTTTTCAGTTGTTTTTAAAGACCGTCGCTTTTCTATTTCTGCTTTTGTGTTGTATGGCACACCCTCGGGTATATTAAATAAATTCTCGCTGTTATGGAAGAGAAGAACCCTTGGGTCGATATGAGAGAACAAGCCCTTCTCAAAGTAGACCAAGGAGAAGTACAGGGGATAAGTTCAAGACTGAGATATGGTTCAAGAGTAAAAGATAAAATGACATTAAAATCTAAAAAATCGAACCATAAATAACATAGTATAACCGTCTTGCAAATGAGTAATCGGCAAAAGTTTGATGGAAAATCAGCACCATAATAGGAAAAGCGAAAAAATTTTGAAGCCATGCGAAGCTTTGTAACTTATCCTTCTTCACAGCTACTACAAATGATGATTTGGCCCAACAAGGTGTCGAGTATTTTGAAGCCGGTGTAGTGGGTGGGCCCGAGTAGAAACAGATGCACCGTACCCCCAACAATCAAGAAACCATGACGACACGAAAATACCCACATGATCAAAAATGATCCTAAACCTCGTTTGAGGTGCTGCTTTTCTTTTAAACCAGATCGCAAAGCACAAGGAGCTCAATTACGTCATGATTACGTCATTTCAACGGGAATCACTGCTGTGATGAATAAGCGCTCCTGCTTTGGAAAGCTTGGCGAAAAGTATGAACATTGAAACAGAGCAGATATATGAAAATATCCATTCAAGGTACAGAATTTTCACAAGCCATCACACACATTTGTGAGCGTTCTCGTGAACATGACGCATAGCTACTCCTGTAACGTATTTTGTGCGACAATTATTGTACTTTACCTACTCACAATTGAATGAGCTCAGAGCGTGAATTAAATAACCGCGATGGTCCACGCCATGACACACCACCCATGCAAGCGATGCCCAACTACGCTCCTACTTTTCGTTATGACTGGAAGGCTTGAGGCGCTTGTGCTCGTATGGAAGGCTCGTCCTTTCACTGAGAGATTACCACTACTACAATGAATGCACGGCGTGTCTTACCTAATTACGCGGAAATCTTACTCAACCGCTATGTGAGTTGGGAAGCACCTGCTATCTCTGCCCCCGTCGTCAGCCTCCAACTAACGATAAGACGAAGCTGAGGAGGTTCAACGTCTTGGTGAAAGGGGAAAAGGACGATAGTCATTTAAACATTTAAGACTGTTAAAGCTTTCATACTAGCCTTGGGAAGGAAAGCTTCTGAGAAAATCCAAACTTCAATATAGTGCATGAGCAATAGATATAAACAAATTGGAAGCACTTTAAGTTTAAAAAACAACAAGCTCAACAAATCAAGGATAACTAAGACAAACCATTTGTTTCCTGTAAAGCAGACGATTTGAAAGCACCTTCCTCGTTCTAATTGTAACCACGTCGCCCTAAACGAGGTGTAGGGATAAAACAAAGGTTCTGATGAACCGCCTCATAAACAACTCACCATGTTTCAAAGCTCGTACAGGAAAGCCTGAAAACACATCTATTTCGCATATGGTAAAACATATAAACGTTGATAATTCGGAAGAAAACATGGAATCACGGTAGAGAAAAAAACGAAAACGATTTTCAATGAGTGTCATTCTAAAACGAAAGGACTACAAGGCGAAATTTCTTAAAATCCACTCGCTCTAAATGAAGATACAGAAATACCCCAGGCCTGCTTTCAATGCGAGTGAAAAGGCTCCAACTTTTTACCGGCAAGATTCCTTACCAGAGAGAATGAAATATGCATCGGTTTGTTTACTTCTGCTTGTAAACAACTCGCGATTCGCGATAACGAGGTTGAAGTTAAAAACAGTTTTGTCATGGACTACAACAGCTGCTTGACAAAGCACAAAAAACACTACATGCAATCGACTATTGCCTTTTGCCGCATTTCACATTTTAGAGCGCTTGGCCCTAAAGAATTTTGATATCACATACCACTACACCTGGGTACTTCTTAGAACGCTAGTAACCATTCCGTGACGGTAAGCACACAGTGAATAGGCCCACAGGAAGATGGTCTCCCAACTCTCGAACAGAAATTTTTCCAACATGAAATCTCAGAGTTGAATACAACCCTCTTTTCTGGACTTATTTCCAGTCCCGAACACTTGGCCCTCCCTGCAGCTGGTGAAAGAAGTACAATTGCACTTTCTACTCACATAACGATACAGAAATGCTTATATTGATAAGTCAAGAAATTCAAAACAATTATACAAGCAAAATTCAGAACCAAGAAATCAAGTAACGATAGGCATCGAATTGGCAGCCTACGTCCTGCGTGGAAAACTACGCAGCGAAATAGTGTGCCGGTGTGGGAGGAGCCTACGGACAACTTGAACTCGGTCCCTTTAATTGTGCTAGCCGCGCCCATCTTCCTGCCCTGTCTGTCGCACTCCCTTTAATCCGGTGTTTCCACCATCTCCCCTGGTGGGCTTCCACGGGTGTTCTTCTCTGCGCATAGACTTTTGCTATCAGGGACGCAGCGGAGAAAGTTCAAGTAGCCACGTAGCCACTTCTTAGATGCAAGTCCAACTTGGGCGTATCCATTTTTGCGCTTCATTCATGTCCAATTCTAGTGTGGGGATTTCTCCATCCTCCAAGTTATCTCGCGAGATTTGGCGTGTCCCGTTCTCGATCAGTGACGATTTATTCGTTTAGTGTTCTTCCAAGTAGAACAGTGATGATGGTTTAAAAGATACTTTGGTGCTAAGTGGGTTGGGGGGGACCACGCGGCGCGGCTGCGGCGCGGCGCCCTGCGCTCTCCAAGCCCGAAACGGTGTTTAGAGACGTTTCATAGTTTTTTATGTTGTAACTGTGTACTTTTCACCTATTTTAGGAAGGGGAGGGGGGCTCCGGGGTGGGTGAGCCAATTGGACGTTCAACTTTTACCTCATCTCAGCTTCTTGCACGTGACAACCATCTCACCCACCCCCGGAGCCCCTGCTTAAAAAATAGGTTTTGTCGGCTCAGAAGAAGTGTATCCATAATATCCAAGCATATTGTTTGTTCTGAATCACGAAACACATCAGTACAACCTTACCATTCCTTCCCAGACTCAGGCCCACTACTAGCTCGCTGGAGAGCGCAGGGTGCCGCGCCGCAGCCGCGCCGCGTGGCCCTCCAACCCACTTAGCACCGATACTTTTTTGATTTGTTTATTTGAGGGTGAGCAACAACAATCGCGTGTCCAAGTGGCTGTGTATGTTTTTGACAGCATACTTATGGCTGCTTTCAAGTCCGCCGACGCACTGACGTAAAACGAATTAGTTCGCATGTAAGAAATCTACGTCTATTGCATTTTATTTCACGGTTCTGACCTGTTCTGACCGTGGAATAAAATGCAACAGACGTAAATTTCTTACATACGAACTAATTCGTTTTA